TATATATATATATATATATATATATATATATATATATATATATATATTAACATTGTAATAATAATACATTTAACATAGAATCTCTACTGTGGCCATAAAACTAGTCTTGATAAATTTAAAAAATTAAAGTGATACAGTATATATTCTTTGACCACAATTTTATCAAATTACAAATTAATAAGACTGATAAATTCCCAGTATCTTTGGAAATGAAGCAATATACTTCTAAACAATATATGGATTGACACAGAATAACTCAGGAGAGAAATTAGAAAATATTTTAAAATAGAGGTGTATTAAAATGTATTTTCAAAAAAAATAATTTGTTTTAGTTATACATGGACACAATATCTTTATTTTGTTTATTTATTTTTATGTGTTACTGAGGGTCGAACCCAAGGCATCACATGTGCAAGGCAAGCATTCTGCCACTGAGCCAAAACCCCAGCCCAGATTTCCAAAATTTTTGATGTGCAAGTAAAACAGTTGTTAGAAACTTAAGGGTTTAAATCTTATATTATAAAATTATAAATTTATTAAAACCAGACATCTAAATTTTTAACAAAAATCTAGGAAAACAAAATAAATTTAACTTAAAAGTCCAAAAAAGGAAAAAGAAAATTAATAAAATTGAAAATGGATGTATATCAGAGAAAATGAACAGAATCAGAAGGTTTTGGGGTTTTGTTTTTGTTTTTGATAAACAACCTTCAAAACCAATAAGGAAGAAAAACAAAAAAATCTGAAAAATGAATTGTAACCATCTGAATGAAATAGATGACATCCCTACAGCTCCTACGGATATTAAAAAGACAGTAAAGGACACCAAAAGAATTTTTTATCATTAGATTTAACATCTTCAATGAAAATCTGAAAAACACAATATTTCACTGCCTGCTTCTGTGTAAAAATATATTCTTCGAAATATTGTCTTTGAAAAAAACAGTATTACACTATCTACTTCTTAATTTTTTTTAAACCTAGTGGTTTAAAAACTACAGCCACATAATAATTTCTCATAGTAATGGAAACTGACCAAGTTCAGCTGGGGGGCTCTCACTGGGGTCTCCCATGTGGTTGCAACCAGAGGGAAGCCGGCTCAGGTCCTTAAGAGGCTCAACTTGGATACTGGGACACCCTCTGCTTATAGTTCCAGGACCTCAAATGTGGCTTATGTGGTTCCCCAAGAATGAAGACAGGGCTCTTAGGCTAAGGGCACAGCATCCCAAAAATATGTTTTTCAAGAGAGAAAAATAACAGCTGTAAGATTTCTTTAGACCCAACCTCAGAGTTGTGGGGTGTGGGACAGGTGCATGGAGTTAGTTCTGCATACATGGCATACATTAAGGGCTTCTGAGTGGCAGGCCACTCCCCTCGTGCTAGGTGTGTGAGCAGCAGGCCACTTACCCTGTAGGCAGAGCCCTGGGCATGAGGCCATGTTTTGCAGTCCTGACACTTGCTTCAGGGCCTGCTCCTCAATTGGTCACTACAAGGACAGTTGGCCAGAATTTGTACTGGTGACTGCTTGTAATCTGCTTGCTCTGGCCAGCTCCTCAATTGGTCACTGCAAGGACAGTTAGCAAGAAAGTGTATTAGTGGCTGCCTATAATCTGTCTAGCTACTGCCTGAGTGTATATATATATATATATATATATATATATATATATATATATATATATACATACATACATACATACATGGTAACTGCACAATAAAGTCAGATCTGCTTCCTGCTTGGTCTCCAGAGGTCTTGATTAGCAACTCTGTAGCCACACTCTCCTCTACCCTGTTCTGTGGACCTCCTCGCTGGATGAGAGAGAGCCCATGCATTGTCTCACATGCTATTTGTCAACAGAATCAGCCCAGATTGAAGGGGATGAGATATAGAACAACAATGCCCTTTTGAGATGAGTAACAGATAATGTGCACCCTCTTTAACCTATCCCAATTAACTTTTTAAAACTCACTAAAAGAGAGAGAGAGAGAAATTGTGCAGTAAATCAGTTTATTTTTCTCAAATTCATCTTCCAAAAACAATTAAAGGCCCACTTTGCTTCAGTGTTAAATTCCACTAAATAACTTCAGTTCATCTGAAATTGTTAGTTACTGGTGATCTGAGTGTCATCATAAACTTTATTAAGGGTTCAAACAACCTAGTAGTGTTTATTGAAAGACTGTTTTCTGTCATGCTATCATAGACACATGTTTGGGGATGGGTCTGTTTCTAAATTTCTATTCTGTTCTGTTGTCTTATTTGTCTGCTCTTGACAAAACACTATGATAACTAACAATCATATAGTAGGCCTTGATATGTTATGTTTTTCCAGTTGTGTTATAATTTTCAAAAATTTCCTTGGCTAACCTAAGACCTTAGCAAATGCATATGAATTTTAAATTCAGCTTGATGATTCCTTCATACCTTGAAAAGAAAAAATGAAAGAAAAAGAAACAAAATAGCAAGCAAATAAAAAGCCTTGACATGACTTTTAATGAGATTTTATTGAATACATCTGTAATTTGGAGAGAACTGACATTTTAAAAATATTTAGTGTTATAATCTCTAAACTGGGTATTTTCTCAATTTGCTTATATCTATTATTTCTCCCAATGATGTTTTATAATTTTCAATATAATTTTTTCCAATATTTTGTAAGCTTTATTCATAGGCATTTGATAAGTTTGTTACTGTTGTGAAAGTTATCATTTTCTTGATTTTGTTTTCTGTTTCTGATAGAACACAATGTAATTGGTTTTGGTTATGCTGACCTTATATCCAGCAACTTTATTAAATTTGCTTATTAGTCTGTGAACTTTTCTATTATGTTTGTTTTCTAAGTGTCTGCTCTTGTCAAGAGTAAATAATGACAATTTTACCTTCTTTGTAATCCTTACACATTTTATTAACTTGTTTTGCCAGCTTTCATTGTCTAATACCTCTAGTACTCTAGACATCAAAGGGAGATTTTTAAAAATTCTGCTTCTGGTTCTGATGTGTGCAATAGGACAGCTATCTTTTCTCACATTGAGGAAGTTTCTTTTTATTACAAGTTAGCGAATAGATTTTTTTTTTTTTTAAATTAAGACCCCTTTCTAAGTTCTGGAGCAGTTTGTTACAAAGCTAAAAATACTCTCACACTATGATTCAGAAAATGTATTACTAAGTGTTTACCCAAATTAGTGGATAACTTATATCCACACAAAAACCTGTATGGATATTTACAGCAGCATTATTCATAATTGTCCCAAATGGGAAGCAACCGAGATATCCTTCAATAAGTTAATAGATAAAACATAGTATATCCATATAGTGGAGTGTTAATTCAGCATTCAAGATATCAAGCTATGAAAAGACATAGAAGAAACTTAAGGTCCTCTTACTAAGTGAAAGGAGCTGGTCTGAAAAAAATCTATATATATTTGCAATTATATAACATTATAGGAAGGGTAAAATTATAGAGGCATTAAATAGATCAGTATTTTCCAGGGGTTCATGAGCAGGAGGGGAGAGATTATTAGTTGGAACACAGAGCATTTGTTTAGGTCTGTAGAACTGTGCTGTATGATATTGTAATGGCGAATATATGGCTTAACATATTTATCAGAATCCATAGAACTGTGTGATTTAGAGTGAACCCTAGTATAACTATGTTCTTTAGCTAAGAATAAATGTCAGTATTATAATAAATATTATCAGTATTATAACAAGTGTACCAAACTAATGCAAGATGTTAATTATAGAAGAAACTGGATCAGGTGATGGAGAGAAGAGGCTGTGGAGGAACTCTCTGTACTTTCTCTGAATTTATTTTTGTAAAGTTAAAAATGTTCTAGGGGCTGGGGATATGGCTCAAGCGGTAACACGCTTGCCTGGCATATTTGGGGCTCTGGGTTCGATCCTCAGCACCACATAAAAACAAAACAAAGATGTTGTGTCCACCAAAAAATGAAAAATAAATATTAAAAAATTCTCTCTCTATCTTTAAAAAAATGTTCAAAAACTGGTCTATTTAAAATGTTTTTCTTTTTACATGGAGGATATGGATTTATTTTTTCTTTTTTATTACATACCCATCTAAATTTTAATGTATTCTCTGTTGTAAATCTATAACATACATATGTATTACATATTATATATGTAATATGTAATATTATGTAATAGAAACACTTGTGCCTAGTCTATCCTCAAAATTCTTAAAATTATGCATTAATTCTCTTGCCATGGGTAGTGAAACTTTACTGAATTTATTAGTAATTGTTGGCTTGTGATTGTTTATCCCCATCCTTCTCCTCTAGGATTTTTATCAGGCCATAGAAATTTTAAGGAAAACAGTAGAATTTTTTCAATAATTGGCATCATTAACCATGGTTCCTAATTACTTGCCTTATATTTTTCCTTTAAGTCACATAATGACTCAATGCAGTAAAAACTAACATTTATGTTTTCATGAGGAATTTGAGGCAAAGGTAAGTATGATACCAGTGAATATATAACTAGTAAATGATAAGCCAACATGGAACCCAAGTCTACTTCACTTCCACAGAACTTATTGGCCAGTTGCCACACTGTCATGAACAGTCTTCAAGATTTGTAGTAGATTCACATAACCATTTTAGAGATAAATATCATCCTAGTTTCACAAATGATAATTCACTATGTTTCAAACCTTCTTTTCTTCATTTTAATGCCATATCTAGCAGTTTTTCAAGGATACATCTCTAGGAATGAGACTTCCAAGAACGAGTCAGACTATTCTCCCAGTAATGAAACAGGTGTCTGAGACCATGGTCTAATAGAATGGGTAATGCCAGTCTTCAGTGCCCCATCTCATTCCTCATTGAGTTTAGAATGGTTGATGTTGATAAGCATGTGAATCCTGTTATGTCTGTGGATCCTATTCTCATCTGATTCCCAATCTACTCCCTTCTGTCCTCCTCTGTCTGTTGAACTCATTATCATATGCCACACCCCGAGGTTTGAGATTCATTACACTGAACATACATTATGTTCTTGGAGGCCCAAGAATAAAACAGATTCTGAACCTGTTGTTCAGTAGAAAATTCCCAGAAAACCAACCTGCTCTAGGTTTCCCAGAAGAGGACTAGGCCCAGCAACAGGACTGACCATAGATGCTTGAAATTAGACCAAGCCCTAGTGAGACTGGGATTTTCTAATTAATTCTAGAGCTTATAAGATACATTCAACATTAAGACACTTCAGGATGAAAGAATGGAAGAACTGAACATATTCCCCGGAACCTTCCCTCTCCCCACAAAGAACTGGCTCAGATACTGAAAATTCCACTACAATCATTCAAAATAGTTTATTGTATGTTAAAAAACAGTTTGGAGAAACTCTAAGCAATAAGTACACAGGATGATGTCTATGCAATGTTAAGAATGTTTTATTGTAGAGATAGAATCCTACAGGATTCATGCCAGAGGAATTGCATTGTGCCAATATAACAATGGGAAATAGAGGGAAGGGGCAATAGACAAGGAAGCCCAGCAGGCCATTAGAATACAGAGAGGTGGAGGAAAGCCATCACAGTCTTGAAATTTAGGGCTGAATATGGCTCTTTTCACAGAGGTGAACACTGGTATCATCAGCTTTGGAAAGCTAGTAAAGCAGAAACTTCTTCATTGACTTCTAAGAAAGGTCATCACCTAGAAGAGGACACAAATAGTTATTAAAGAGCTTAAGATGGATAAATTTGAGCTCTTTCCTTTGGATTTCTTCATCTTCCCTCTATCATTTGACTTTGGAAAAGTCCTTTGATATTCTTCTAACCTTTAGTAGATATGACATTTCCAATGCCAGCTGTCAACATCACTTTGAGCAAAATAATGCTTTGCCTTATTTTGGATGTTCTGATAGCACTTTTAAGACACGAGGATCAAAAACAGGCATTGGCTTCTGAGACAGTTCCATTTCTTTCAGTGATTCTACCTAACCCCAAGGGTGCCAATCTTTGGAAATGCTCCTGTACCAAAGCCCTGTCTTAGGAAAAATAGTCCAGAAGTTTCCTAAATATTGAAGCTTACTCTCCTAAATACTAGGATGTTGTATTATAATTCAAAACAATGACTTGAGGTGCTGAAAATTATTTTTAAGACTATGGGTATGACCTAGGAGAAATTTATGAAAAGAGATGACAGATCCTGAAGCTTTGGGATACTAGATGATGCCTATGTCTGGTTTGTTCTAGCAATGATAAACCAAGAGATATAGCTTTTCCGATCCTCCTTCCTAAGGTATAACTCATGCTTTTCCCTGTTTTCCTCTTTCCCAAGTCTCTAAAGATGTCCTTCTCTGATCATGCCTGACCCACCTTCACTTGTCTCACAGGGGCCCTCGGCGTTCTCCTGTATGGCTTTTTTGCGTGCCCTTGATAATGAAGATGGTCCCCATGATGATGCCCACTAGACCCACAAGCAGGCCCAGGGCACACACCACATTCTCTTTAGTTTCTGGTAGTGAAGTTTGCTCTTCAAACGCTGGGGCAAAATAAAACAGAGTAAATGGTAATGCATGTGGTAAGGAACAGCATTTAGGGTTAAATGTAGTCAATAGTATAGTTATGAATAGTTGAAAGAAGAGAAAGAATGAGGTGTTGGTGAAATTACAGATTAAAAAGTTGAAGAAGGTGGATAATGGAAGAACACAATGGTATGAAGTGTAGCAGATTTTATGATACGCTCTGAGTTCTAAATGACCAGATGTAAGCATCATAGCAGGAAACTTAAAGAGGACTGAAGGATATTCCATACCCCAGTGTTTGAGAAGAGGTCTCTCCAAACCCAAGTGGTCCACCTCGCAGTCATAGAAGTCTTCATTGGAGGGCAAGAAAGGGAGATAGTGAAACTTGCGGAAAAGTTGGTCTTTCCTGGGTAGAAAGACTGTCTCTGACACTCCTGTGGTGACAGGCTGTCCATTTTTAAGCCATCTGACATTGACCACTGGAGGGGAGAACTTGTCGATGAAGCAAATCAGGATATTGGGCTCTCCCAGTTCCACAGGACCACTGGAGAGCACTGTCACTTCTGGAGGTACTGGGGGTACACAGAACAGAAATTAGCTTTATTCCTTAGGCTTGCTCCTCTCTCTCCCCCAATGACTTGTGGTACAAATTTACCTAGTGACTCTAAACCCAACCAGTTGAAATTGTGCCCTGAGAAGTCTGAGCCACAGTCTCAAGACACCTGGCTCTGATGCTCTGGAGCCAATATTCAGAAAAGAGATGACAGATCCTGAAGCTTCGGGATACTAGATGATGCCTATGTCTGGTGTGTTCTAGCAAAGAGAAACCAAGAGATACAGCTTCTCCGATCTTCCTTCCTAAGGTATCACTCAAGATAAAATCTTCAAGGATATTATCCCTGGCTCCCCCAACATGGACAGTGAGTTCATGAGTGGCCATGGATGACAGAGACAAGACTTGAGCACATCAAGAAAGGCACAAACTCAAAATTTTGGAGTTCATGGCAAGAGAATCTGGGGTTTGTTTATGGTTAGGGTGAGGCCTCTGGGAGGGAAAGTCACAATAAACGACAAATCACTTGAAGTATCTATGTTAAAGCTTTGGATCCCTACACCCAGGAGCGCAGCAGAGAGAAGAGAAGGGAGTGGTACCATTGGAGTCCCAAGTGTTGTTGGAGCGCTTCATCATGATGTCTAGGTTGGCTTTGTCCACAGCTAGATTGGCCAATGCACCCTGAGCCTCAAAGCTGGCAAATTGTCCGAATTCTTTAAGCCTCCAGACCGTCTCCTTAATTTTCGAATCCACATGTAAAATCTCATCACCGTCAAAGTCAAACATAAACTCTCCTAATTCGTCAGGGTGCAGATAGAATTCTGCCTGGATGATGGTATGGTCCTCTGAAATGCAGAAAAGGGAGTTAAGGAGGGAATCAGGATGGGGAGATGAAGAAGACATATGCATGTGAGCAGGAGGTGATGGAGACAGACTGAGCCAAATTAAATGGAGGAAGACAGAATGAGTGACAAGGTGAGAACAAGGTGACAGACAGCCAAACTGAACAAAGCTGGAAAGGAAGAGATGAGGAGACACTGTTAGAGAGGTGGACTGAAGGATATGATAGCTGAAAGTCCAGCCTCTTATGAAGCTATTAATTGACTCCACTTGACTAGCTGGGAAATATTTTCTTTTCAGAAATCTAGCAGCAGCTCCTAAGAGAGGAGCTGCTATACTTTACCCAGGTATCAAATATACTTGGGCCAGAATTCCAGAACATCTCCTTCTCCCAACACTGTACTAAGAAATATTGTTTGAAAGGTTAAGTTCTGAACTCTGAAATCAAACAAAATCTTGAATTCTTGGGTTGGGGAATGTAGTTCAATGGTAGGAGTGTTTGCCTAGCACATGCAAGGCCCTGGGTTCAAAACTCAGCACTGCAAAATAGGGGGTAAAAAAAAACAAAAATAAAAAAAAAACCTGAAGTCTTGTTCAGTTACTTACCTAGTGATCTTCAGCAGATTTTTCTACCAACTTATGTGTAATTTTCCAATTACAGTTCTGCTGTGATTTTGATTCTACTGTGAGTTTTTTTTAAGATTAAATGAGATGAGATTAAGTAATTTCCTGGAGTGTTTTCAAATCTCTAACAAGCATGCTTCACATTTTAAGGTCAGAAACTGCTCTGTATTTAAGGACCAGACCCATGGAAAATACAACTAGGGTCTGAGGCACCCATAAAATTAAGATTTAGATCTTGCACTATTGTACAGCACCTACCTCCCTGATACCATGAATAGCTCTTTGAGAAGGATAATGATCTGAATTGAACTTAGTAATCTGACCTTTATCTTAATGCTCCTTATATTGAGATGGTCATTATGGGACAAGATTATGATTGATATTAATAATAACTAACCCCAAGGGAATAAAAAGAAAAGCTATAGTTGGAGAGTATGCAGCCTCCAAGGTATGTGAAACTGAAAGGAAAGTGTTTCTGTGTTCAGGCTTCAGAGATAAGGCAGATTTTAAGGTTTGGCTGTTTATAAATACACCTAGGGATCTATTTAGCATTTGCATCTATGCACCAACAACTAAATTCTGACTACCATTTTTCCAACCCAGGAGGAGGGCTCTACCTTTCCAGGTAAACATGCCAATATAGGGCTCTTTCTGGGCAGTAGAAACCTATAATGGCATTATGTCTCTGGGATCTGGGTTATTCCTTTGCTCATTTCCATTCTATAGGGCCACTCTGGGAGAATACTTTCCCACAACATGTATTTACAATAACACAAATATTTGTTCTGGATATGGCAGAAAATAATATCAGACTCTCTACTTGTTCATTTGTCTATGCTCTTGGAAATATTACTAAGTAACAGTGACCACAGACAATGTAAGATCTACTGTAGCAGGGAAGGAGGTGGGTGGCTGTCACTATCCCAAGAAACAGTAAATTAAATGCAATATATCAGCACATCTGTCCCCTTTCTTGGATAGATGTATTTTGGTGACTTTACTTTTTTAGTGATCTTCAATATAATGCCTGTGCTCAAAATATGCTGACAGAATTTACCTGCCAAAAATTATCATGTATTCAGTTAAGAACACTGCTAATAATGTCTCATTTTTTCTCTTTTAATTCTAACAAAATTATGTGATGTTTCCAATATTTGGATTTTACCAAGATTCCTGAAAGAAAAATTAAAACCCAGAAATGTTAAATGCTAATGCCTGTCAGAAAAGTATGCCCCTGCACCCCCGGTAAGTTTGGCTTTTATCATATTAGTGGTATTAATTAATGTGAAACTGTTTTGATCCTCCAAACTAAATTCAACTTATTTCAATTTATGATGAGGGAAGAGTTCATCCAAACTATATTTTATGCTTTCAGATTCAGACTCTCAAACTTTTCTTTCACTCCAAAGATTGCCTTGCAAATACCCACAATTCATTTCTCTAAAGCTTTCCTGTCTGCTATCCTCAGTTTTTATTTTTCTTAGCACCTACCTTTGATAGCCCATGATTCCTGAGGGCTCATCAGGACAGCCATGAAGAAAAATCCTAAAACCATGACTTCACTTCTGGCCATTTTCTTCTAGAGTGCTTTGATGGGGGGGGGGGTCGGTAGAACTCACAAGTGAGGCAGAAGAGGCAAAAATAAAAGAACACAAGATTAAAATTCAAATTAGTTGGGCTTTAGCCAATCAGAAAAATATTTTGCGATGACACATCTGTTGCTAGGAGAAGACTTTTGTAAAGGATCCAGGACAAGAGATAGTAGTCCAATGGGGGAGGGGGGGAAGACAGTTCTTAAACAAGCAACAAAAATATCCAAGTTTTTGAGAATGTTGGTCAATCATCCACACATTCTTCCATCCTAATCCAAGTTTTGGAAAAGGGTTTTACCTGAAGAAAAGAATTAGTGGAAATAAGCTAAAGTGAAAGTTGAATACGATACAGATCCTGCCTCTAGGCCAAGATAACAGGGAAGGGTGTTGTTGTTGTTGTTGTTTAATATGTTTTTAGTTGTCAATGGACCTGTATTTATTTATTTGTGGTGCTGAGAATCAAACCCAGTGCCTCACACATGCTAGGCAAATGCTCTACCACTGAGCCCCAACCCCAGCCCCAACCCCAAAATGAATCATCTTAAGAGAATGCCTGGATTTGGGCAGTACAGAGTGACAGAGCTTCACTTAAGAAGCTCCTTATGGATTCATGCTTCTCTTTTCAACGTCCTGGATCACTGAATGACCAACTCAGACCACGATCTTGGGGTCAGTGGCATTATGTTGTATTTAGAGGACATTGGAAGAGAAACTCTTGAGCTTCAACACTCCCAAAGATTGAGAGGGAAGGAAAGCTACACCTTTAGTAGTGGTTAACAGAGATAATGGGCTGTGAAGAGAGGAACTTCTCCCAGTTTCTGCCAGACCGGAGAGATTCTGTAGAGAGAATCTGACCTGGGAGACACAGGTCAATGAATGAATTGGGCCCAGTTTATTCTACTGGGCACTCAGGGTAAGAGCCCAGAGGAGATATTGCCATGTCTTAAGATTATGAAAGCTCTTCTCCTGTCATATGACTATTAAACTTCTGATGCAAAGAATATATTTTGATGTTCTCCATAGAGAATACTGAAAGTTAAATGTCTCTGAATCTCCTGTTTCTGAAAATATAGTGCAATGGAAAGAAAATGTTAAGTTACACCTAGAAAGGACTGAAATTCCAATATTTCCAAGGAAGAACAGGCTGGCAGTGACATCCCATCAGGTGGTGAGTCTTTCATTTAACCTCAGTCATGACATGTTTGTTTAGGGTAGATGCTGTGCTGAGTGAGGTCTTATCCTGACCTGCAGCTGCCCTCACACATCAGGAGGGCATCACTGATTTTCTGATCACACCCAAGGGCTTTCAACATCCTGTATTATTGACTCCTAGATCACTAAGAGGAGACCCATAGCACAGTCCTGCCCTAAAATAGTTTGGGTATCCATCTCTCACCAGATGAGAGTTCTGCAGTGTCAGTCTCTGCTGAGAGTCTGGTTCTATGATTTAGGCTCATTGTTTCCTCTTTCAGAGGCAAAGCTAAGTTGTATAATTTTTCTGTGTACCCTGTGCTGGCTGCCATCATACCTTGTCCTTAAAAGGTGCTTAATAAATGCATGGTAGATTCAAAGACACTTTACATGTCATAAAGCCCCTTCATCCCAAGGTATTGCTTAGCAACTTATGATTTTGTTTAGTCCTAATCCACTGATTGGTTCTGCTCATGAGATTACCAAATTTGATAGACTTCAAAAACAACTTTCAGTTCCCCTCCTCTGTGATTCAAGAGAAGTTCCTATATGGACGCTACTCATGGTTTCCTGTTCTCCCAAATTCTAGTTTCCTGTGTGCTTGAGGGGATTTCTGAGGTCACCTGAGTGATCTATTTATGGTGATGGTAAGTGGTGAGGAACACTGTCATTCAGGATTGTCCTGCTGTACCCATAGACACTCCAAACAGAATTGAATCTATTATAAAGAAGTACACCTTGAAACTGTTGGGGAGTCTGGAAGAGCAACAGTGAGTGCACTTTCAGCTTTAAAAGAGGTTAGGGGGGCTGTGATTGTGGCTCAGTGACTGAGCACTTGCCTCATGCATGTGGGGCCCTGGGTTTAATCCTTAGCACCGCATAAAAACAAAATAAAAATAAAAAAATAAAAAAATGCCCTTATTTGAAAAAAAAATAATAAAAAATAAAAGAGGTTAGGAACCTGTGGGAAGCCCTCCTGCCATCTCAGTTCCTCTAGAGCCCTCAGGGAGTGGAATGTCTGCTGTGGTTGTCACTCATGTCTGCTGCTGCCAAAACTCATGTCCTTGAAACCCTGGGTCCTCTGTGTGAGGTGGCTCCACACAATGCTGAGTCTCACTGGAAAAGTGTATGTTCAGAAAATTTGGGTTGAGCAGAAGCAGGGAGATGTAATATTCTTGCTTTTGTTCCTTAAGATACAAACAGGACCATAGAAATAAATGGAAATTTTATTAAAAATTACTAAATGTCAATGCATATAATATCTGTATATCTTCTATCCATCTATCATCTCTTCACTATCTCACTCTGACCCTCCCATAGTATCAAATACTGAAGACCAGAGGAAATATTCTTGCAGAGTAATCGGTTAGAACTTGGGAATGAAGGATCTTCCACATTGAGCTGGGACCTCAGTACTTTACATACTTGCGTAGTCTAAATTCTGAGAACCTTCAATTCCCCTTACAGCTTCCCTTTCCTGACCCCTTTCCCTTGGTACTCGGGTGCTTCATGGTGTTTTTCCCTACTGAGGACTTCCCCAGAGAAGTGCAGAGGTTATGTTATGTAAGCATTTCATTCCCAACTCACTACTCAAGAAATTCTGTGTCACTTCTCCACTTCCTAAAAGGCGGTAGAAGCTAATCTGCTGAAATAAATTCTCCATCAGAATGGAAACCGGGAACTGCTGGTATAAGCAAATATGCTAGGGTGGCTGGATGATGGGACTTCCTAGTGTGACCTGTATGAACAAAGGGCTCCATAGTGACTTGGTTCATCTTGAACCTGGGAGGATGACAGGTTAAGAAACTGATTCATTCTCTGTTCACCTCTACCTGAAACAATGTTTTAAAGATCCAAGTTCTCTTCACACAGCCCTTCAGAGGTGTGAAGTGACACTTCCTTACTTGAGTAGTCTCTGTAAATAAGGAAATGCAGGAGAGAGAGAGAGAGAGAGAGAGAGAGAGAGAGAGAGAGAGAGAGAGAGAGAGAGAGA